AAACAGTGAAAAATGATGCAAAGAGGGATTTTTTCTGTGAAGGAGTGGTTAAACATTTTGGCAAATGCACCTTTTTTGCTGGGTTTGGATCAAGAGCTTTTCCCAAAATGTTGAATTTTAAATCACTAAATCAAGTAATGTTTTGCTTTTAGAACTGAGTATATTTGTAGTAAATATAATGCACCTGTTGTTCGCCTATCTATCTGCCATCAGGCATGTTATCATTCTCCCTATCCTCCATATTTCCCTCTCATCGCTGGTTTTTCCATTTTGGACAGCATCTGCAGCTCTCACCCCGCTGCTCCCCCGAGACGCTGACGTCCACCAGAGCAGAGGCCAGTGACACGTGTGATTGATGACCCCCAGAATGGAAAAGAGAGAGATGGACAGATTCCTTTTATCAGGATTGAGGTCTGACTAGATTAAAATGCAGTTGTACAACGCCTCCTCCCCCCTTTTTCAGCGTCCCCATCGGCCTCCTTGGCATCCCCGCTCTCTCCCGTCAGTCACCACACCTGACTGCTGGGAGTTCTCTCCTCATCTCCTCTGCTGACCTCTCACCCCGCCTCCCTGCTCGAGGTGACACGGCGCGGACGTGGCCGATTGTGCGAGACTTTAACCAGTCACTTCCAAATTGACTCAAGGTGTTGCGGCTATTTGCTTCTGCAGAGAAGTGTGCGAGACAAATCTCAGCGGAGCCTTCCTCACACCATTTGCACAAAGCTGGTCGGTTTAAAAAAAAAAAAAAGTATGAAATGTGTTGGAACATAAATCGCAAGTCGCTCTCTGCAGCTAACCACAATCAACCCTTGAAAAAACATCCAGACTGAAGAGGGGAAATTCTCCATTTTCTCACTCACTAAGTGCTGATTAAAAGAAAAGAGACAATCACTCTCATTCACTGGCGTGCAGCTGCCTCACTGTCAGATGGCGGAGTGGGAGATTTCTGTGGAGGTGCTGAAAAGATGCCTCAGTGAAAAGGACCTGCGTTTGTTTTTCAGATGGCTCTCTAATGACTGGATGTGATTAACACAAATTATCTCACTTATCACAGCTCAACAGGCTTAGATAGACAGTCTCTGGGTGCATTCTCCGCAGTGCTACTTAACATGCATTTAATCAGACTCAGCAGTCAGTATCACACTCACAAGGACAGCAATGACCTGATCTCCAGCAGAAATACACAGCTTGTCTTTGCGACTTTAAGGCAACTTATTCCAAAAATGATAGAATTATGGAGTCAGTGTTGTGTCAAAATATGCCTTATGTTGTATTTAGGCTGTAAACACACATGTACAAAACACACAGGATAAAACCTCTTTACCCGACTGACAGATATTTTCTTTTGTTTTAATAAAATACCATTTCTAAGACTCCAAAGTGTGCAAATTGACACAATTCTAGCAAAGCTGCATGTAAAGAATGAGGCTAGAGTTATTTTACATTTTTCATAGTGTCAACAAATCTCAAGAAAAGGACAAAATCAAGAATGTTTTAGTTCCCTACCATGTCTGTGGAAATCAGCATGTAGAATAGCAGCCCATTGGTTTCTACTAAAGATAAATCTTAAAGATAAATCTTTAAAATCAAGCCATAAATATATTGTTATATATTTTTAAAAGAAAACGGCGGTTTATTACAACATGGGCATTATGTTTTTAGCTCTGGGCATCAGTAATAACACTATGTGTACAAAAGTAATGTAAGTAAAGATGTCAGAATGCTGCAACATTGCTAGAAATAGGTCCATGTGGTCAGAGAGGCTTTCATTAACTTTAACTTTGTTCCTTGAGATCATAACTGATGGGATTGAAGGCAAAACATAGCACAGATAAACTGATAATAAAGCTGACAACTGTAGTGTTCAGCAAACATTACTGAGGCAGGAGGAAATAGTGTGGCAAGTGGTTTTAACATTTAATCATCATAATAGCAGTATTGCACATATAAACAGTTTAAAAAAATTCAGTTGACCCTTCATAAGTCCTGCCCCCTTTTTGCTCTGTGATCCAGTAACAGTTATATAGGCACAACTTAGGTACGGTTCGCAAAATGCTAGTTAACTAGCTAACTCATAATTGATGTTTAGCTAGCAAGCATTTTCCTAACATCAGCTAACTAGCTAGCTAATGACTGATGAACATTAGCTAGCTATTTAGCTAAGTTTTGCCAACTTAAGATGTGACTATATATATGTCGTAACCATCTTCAAAATGTAGTTGTCTTTTCAATATAGATTAGTCTAGCTTTTAGCATATCTAAGTACAGGAAGGCTTTCTCCACTGTTACTGGAGTACAGAGCAAAAAGGGGCGGGACTTAGGGAGCGTTAACTCATACTAGAAGCAATTCTCATTATATCTACATATCATAAATGCAATTGTAGATATCTAAAATTCAAATCTGACAAGTTAATATTCAATTTAATTGATATGTTGGCTTGGAATTGTAAGAATGAAATTTCAGATATCAGACATACAATTGTGAAAATAATATTTCTACTAATAACAATTACTTTTGAAATATCTACAATTACTTGTATAACTAAATTCAAGATTCCAAACACAAGGTTTGTACGTACAATGAAAGTCTTACTTTGCCCGACTCCCTGAGGCAACACACAAGACTAGTCAGAATTTAGTCAAAATGTCATTGTGCTTATCTTCAGTAATGTATATATCCAAAAAGAACATGTGACTTAGGGCTAAAATGTTTTGTTGATATGTTGAACTATTAGTCGGGAAAATACAATTTTGACCTGGCAAATTGTCATTTCCACAAGTGACAACTAAATTGCTACTAGTCAGCCTGACTGATGAATGTTAAGCAGGCTTGCCATAGAAATAGTGCATTTGTTTGGGACTATTTTCAGCTGCGGATTAATCCACGTTTGGTGCTTTAGTGAGTAGTGAGTAGCATTATGGTGTGTGATATTGAGTCAAACTAAGTGTGTGTGTTCATTAACGAACATGTCACCCAGTGTCAGTATAGGACGCATTCATTGGTGCTTTTTATGGGAATTGTTGACAGTCAGAACAATAAATAATATTGCTTGTTTTACAATTTGAGATGGATTATTTTCCCCAGTAGACTAAACGAGAGATGATTTCTCTTGTGTACACATGTGACTGTATGAAGTACTGAATGAAAATCCCCCCCGTCAACATCTGTCTGTGAGATTATATATTTTTTTGTGATCCACTCATAGTGAACTGTACCTCGCAGAGCCATCTGTGAGTGAGCTGTCCACACTGCGTTTAAGCTGCTGCCATCTCTCCAGCCAACCAGAATTTGACCCTGTGACCTCGTGGGCACCCGGAGGTCATCCTGTCACAGTGGATGGACCGGAAGTCACCACGGGGGCCTTTTTGTCCAGATGAGGGTTATATGGTTCTGTGGAGGGCTAAGGGGTCTACAGAGAGACATAAAACTGCCAGGGACATTGAGAGGATGGAAGTGAAGAATAGAAGTGTTAAACCCGCAGGCTTATGTCACACAAATGTATAGATTTTAACAGTTAAATATGTGAATGAATACAAGTTGTATTTGCCGTACATACCCCCAAGTGTATCTTCATCCACATCTTTTGATGTATATGCTGTAAATACACTGTAAAAAAAACCCAAATGGTAATATTCTGGCATTAAATAAATATCTTCCCTATGTCATGCGTCATCTAACTATAAACTATCCTAACTTATTTAGACTGTCAACAAACATTAAGAGACTTTTTTTTTTGGTGATAAATACATCATACTGTTGTGATTGCATGAAAGAGTTTTTTTACTCAGATGTAATGCATATGGTGGTTTGTCATGACATTCTTCTTAATACACAGTCCTATAAACAATACGAAGAAATCAACTCCAGTACTTTACTACTTGTTATTAAAGACACAGTTAATACTGTAAAACCTGACAACACATCTTAATAAATAAAGTAAGTTAACATAAATGAATCCTTCAAACAAATTGAAGTAACTCATTCACATGAATTAAACCAAATTCAAAAATGAACTGTTGAAGCAACTCAGTTATTTTGAGTGCAATTAAGTTTGTACAGTATTTTAAGTATTGACGATATAATTCCATTTTGTTTCACTGACTCATTTTCTTCAAGTCACAAAATGGTAAACCTCCATTTTTGTTTAAAGTGTAAAGATTTGATGTTAGTCAAATCAGTTAATTATAAATTGTTTTGTATGTCAGCTGTTTTGACAGGTAATGTAATCATTTGCTTTAGTGGAAGAAAACTAAGTAAATTCAACTTGGTGGTAACATTTGTATAAAGAAGATGCATTTAAGTGACTTTATTCAGATAAATTCTGTTTACACATTTTAAATAAGCTTGGAAAATTGCTGCATATGAGTGTAACTAACTGTAAATGGAATGAGTACAATTAACTTAATTTAGCCAATTTACATTAACAATAAATCTTTGAGCTACTTCTACTTAAATCAAATATCTTTCATGCTAAAATTGTTTGAGTTAATAAACTTAAACGGTTTAAGGCAATCGGTTTCTTAAAACAGCTTGAGTTGAACCAACTCATCAGGTTTTACAGTGTAGTTACGACTAAAAGTACGTACACAGCCCTGCGAGACACATGAAGAGAACTGAATGCAGATACTTGTATGTAAATGAATAGTGACTGTGACCTAAATTTGAAAACACAACCCAATCCAAATTCTGATCTACATACTGAGACTGTTTGAACATTTGAAGACTGAGCTGGATGTGTTGATGATGAAATATCTGAGGTGGTGTTCAGAGGAAAGGGGTGTGTGTTTGGGGCAGCATAAATTGTGTTAGCTACTTCATTGAAAGACAATGGAGGACAAGATGTTGTGTGTAGTGTCACCCATGTGCTTCTGCACCACTATTGTCTGCTCTCCTTCCCTGGGAGAGGGGAGACGGAGGGGTGAAAGGAGGAGGGGGAGGATGTGGGAGGAGGTGGGTTAGTTGACTTGCTGTATGTGTGTGTATGTGCGTGCGTGTGCGCGCGGGGAGAAGCACAGACGGCTCGTGGTAATTTGATGTGTGTCCCCGGGGATGTTTGATGGATTAATGCTAAGCAGCTCCCTCTTCCAAAGCACCACCTGATCTTTGGGGCTCGTGCCCCACATATAAAAGGCTGCAGTAGTGCTGAGCTCAGCTAGTCCAGCCATCTCTCTCTCTCTCTCTCTCTCTCTCTCTCTCTCTCTATCTCTATCTCTGCCTCGCCACTTTCTGTCTTCCTCTCCATCCTCCCTGTCCTCTGCTTTCTCTCTCTCCTTGCTGCTTTCAGCACATTTTCTCTTTCTCTTTCCCTCAGGCTTTAAACCATTTCCAGGACAGATTTTTTTTGCAAACCTTTTTTCCATCCCTCCATTGTTTGGCCTGTTGAAGAAGGCCGCCTGGAAGATTAGTACATTTTTCCCTTTTTTTTTTTTTCTTATCACCAATACGTTCACATTCTTCTATGAGGCTCTAGCATCAGTCTTTTCATCAGGGAAAAAAAATGCCACGCTCCTTTTTGGTGAAGCAGCCGAAGGTTCACGACTTCTCCTCTTCCAACTACTACCATCAGCACCAGCAGCACTGGGACGACTCCTACACTGTGACACATGCCATCACAGAGTCAGCCACCAACTTGGCGGTGCGTTTAAGTGAAAATGGTGAGTTGACATCTCTCTGAGTTGAACTTTTTTGTGTGTATTTCTGCTGCTGCAGCTGTTGGCTTCTTCATTTAGAGATGATCAATATGGTCAAAAATGGGGAAAGAAATCTAAACCAACAGACAGGGCTTCATGCGATGATGTTCATGTTGTTGTCTCTGCTAGCTAATCGCTCTTGGAAACCCCCAGAATCCCCCCACAGGCATTGCTCGCCCCCCTTCTGTACGCCTCAGGACTTTTGTTTTCTAACTCGGCGGATGCTAAATAGTATTCAGGTCACGCTGGCTCAATCTGCTTAATACTCAAACCAGATCACACAGCAGCCTTTGGCTTTAATACTATTGTGTACATGAATGATGAGATATACGTGTACACGGGCATTAGGCACAAAATCTGATGCAAGCCTTTGTCAGGTCCAACTAGAAAGAAGGGGGGGGAACTCAGGAGAAAGCAGATAGCCACATGGGACTGTGTTGTCCTTAGATGGTGCAGTTGCCCTTGAGTCTCTCCTCTTATCATCCACCCCCCCCCTTCCCTCGTTCATCTCTCCATCTCTCTCCATCTGATCCTGCAGGATGTTAGATAGCCACAGGGAGTAGGATTGCAGCAACACAATCCATATGTGGAGCAGCGAGAGGTGATGGAACAGGGTTTTTAGAGGATGGGTATTGACTGGAAAATAGAGAGTGCTGCAGGTAATTCAATAAAGTGCAACATGAGCAGTACATTGGCAGACAGTAGATTTTCATCCGTGGGATTTCTGGAGAGGCTGGATGTGAGAACAACCCTGCAAACAAACAATATGGCGTGTGTGTGTGTGTGTGTGTGTGTGTGTGTGTGTTTGGCTTTGAGAAACATCCAAAGAAATGTGTGCTTTGAGCGGATTCACCCCCCCACCACCTCCACCAGCATCACAGATCTTGTGTTTGAGTTGAATCATTTGTCCCCCAGATTTAGGATGCCAGCTGTCTGCTTCCCTTTGTGTTCCTGTGTGTGTGTGTGTGTGTGGGTGTGGGTGGGGGGCGAGTGGGCTCAATATACCATTGACTGCTGTCAAGATCAGACAGCAGCCCCCCCCCAAACCAAACACACACACGCCCCAGCCCTCCCTTCCTTTTTTGCCAAATCGCAGTCCCCCACCTGTCACTCACTCTCCCTCTTACCATACTCATGAACACTCTCAAAAACGGCGCAGATGGGGAATGATCTGATTAAAATGATTTAGTGATTGAGGGGATTTCACTGCTGAGACGCTCTGTTTTGATAAATCCCCCCCACCCCCACCTCCATCACAGATCCAGACGCTTTGCTGCCGCTGCGAGGCGGTGACAGGTGGATCGATCCAGGGCCAAACTATTGCTCTGTGACTCTTCTGTTGATGTCAGCACATTGTCTTTGACTTATATTCAGCCACAATGTGCCTTTCACATTTTTTTCCTCATGATAGCACTTGTTGGAGCCAGCGGGGGTATTGATCGGGGCTGAACTGCGCACCAAAGTCTCATTAATATTTCATTCCCAAAGCTTGCTGAACCTGGCACTTACAAATAGCTTCCTGTATTGGTTTCGTATTGATTAGAGGTTTGGGTAAGAGGGCACTTTTCCTCAGAGGTTATTGAAGATGTTCCATTCATTTATTCCCATGAAAAAAATATTTTCCAACTCTTTATTAAACATCTTTTTCCTTTCCCAGGCTACATCCATGATTACATCATCCCCTCAGTGTTGCAGAGCACAAAGGAGCCAGGTCATGAGCAGACCGGGCTCTCCTCAGGGCCCCTGTACTCCCCGGGTGGCAGTGTTGGGGAGGAGTTCTCCGACCACGACATGGAGCATCCGGACAGCCCCGTCTCCAGCGGCACAGTTGAGTCAGACAGCAGTGGACCCGAGTTGGAGGCGTGCACCATCGACGCCTTCCTTATCTCTGATGGACGCTCCCGTCGGAGACCCAACCAGAGGTGTCCCCGCAAGGGAGGCCGTCAATCGGACAGCAGCGAGAGTGTGGGCTCGGCAGACTGCAGCCCCGACAAAGGGAAATCCAAAGGGCGCCACGTGTGCGGCGAGTGCGGCAAGTCTTACGCCACATCCTCCAATCTGAGCAGACACAAGCAGACTCACCGTAGCCTGGACAGCCAGCAGGCCAGGAAGTGTACCACGTGCCACAAGGTGTACGTGTCTATGCCAGCACTGGCCATGCACATGCTGACCCACGACCTGAAGCACGAGTGCACGGTGTGTGGCAAAGCCTTCAGTCGACCCTGGCTCCTGCAGGGCCACATGAGGTCCCATACCGGAGAGAAGCCGTTTGCCTGCGCCCACTGCGGCAAGGCCTTCGCCGACCGCTCCAACCTGCGTGCCCACATGCAGACGCACTCTGCGTTCAAGCACTATTCCTGCAAACGCTGCCACAAGAGCTTTGCGCTCAAGTCCTACCTGAACAAGCACTACGAGTCGGCCTGCTTCAAAGGGTACCAAGCAGAGGACGACTGCAGCTCCGAGGACTGACTGGGAAATATTCATCTTTTTAATTTCTATTTATAAACTTTTGAATAGTTCGTACAGCAAAGTCAGAGAACAGCCTCACTTCTCAGGCTCGTCACATGCATGCATCATAATCCTGCCTTTTGATAAGCAATAACCTCACTTTAAATTATTCAGGAATTATGTATGAAATTCAAGAAAATCTCAGTGTTGATCACAAATGTAAAGTATTTTATATTGTTTTTTATAAATTGAATTGCAATAATTTACATGCCAGTATTATTTTATAAGCCAAGTAGCTCTTCATTTACCTCAAACATTTTATTATTCGTTAAATAATGTATTTGTGTATTTATTAATTTATTTAACTATTTATTTGCCAATTTCGAAGATTATTTATTTATTATCGGTTCATGTATTTGTGAAATTAACATGGATTTATTAGAAGCCATGTATTGGATTTGTTGAAAACAAAAGCCAAAATATATTCTGACACGCTATATTTCTCTGTCTGATCAATTTGGTGATGACAATAAAACTGATGAAAATGAATAATTACTGAAACTGCTTTCACTCCTCTCTGAAAATATAGAAGATGACACACCATCACATTTGAACACATTATGTTTAATATTTCAACCCATTAAAAAAGGAAGAACTAAGAAGTTTTCCATGCATGGTAGTGCTGTAACTTTCTCAAAAAACAAATACAAATTTGAGTAGCCTGTGTATTCTAAACTTCTTCGTAGAATTTACGGTGGTTCGTTCATTCACATGTCTGAGTAACGAGTGACAAGCTAATATTATTTTAAAGCAGTCACATTTTCCAAAATCAGTTAACTCACTTACTGTTATTAGTTAGGCAGGTATACAAGAAACTGAAATCCGAAATAATTAATGTCACGTGGTGCAGATAACCATGGAAAAAGACTAAGGCACTCCATCTATGGATTAAGTGATGTATTACATGTATTCTTCAAGCATTGGCAATAAAACAGACCAACGTGTATCAACTCTTAATCAGGGTCTCAACCTGCTTCCATGGTTATCTGCAAGATTTACTAGATCTCTGTTTGTTGTTAACAATGGTAGTGTGTATGATACTAGCTGTGTTGTGTTTGGAAAAGCCTAAAGAAGGAAGAAAAAACAATGATGACGGTTTCACAATTTGAACATCCTTCCAGGATAAAACCATTTTCGTTCCTGATGCCCTACATCTGTCATGTTGTCTGAACGTGGCGTAACCCATAAGCCTTTGTGCTCTGGTCAATTATTTAATGGTGTATTCAGAGTAATCTCATCAACTAGTTACAAAACATCACATTCTGTTTATCTGCATTCAGGTGATCATCAGTCACTGGTACAGAAACCATATGAAGAAGACCAATGGAAAAGACTGCAGGGTGTAATTAATGGAAGCCATAAAATCCACTGTTTAACTGGCAGCCTGGATATGCTGTTAATCACTGACTGTTAGAGAAAAACTTGGCAACTTCCTGGTGGTTAAGGTTATGAAGTAGTCAATTGACTGCAGTTTAGCCAATGAGTGATTTTACCTTCTCAGATTGATTGGGTCAGTTCAGTTCGTAAAGAGCCAAAGACATAAAATTGGGGAAGATTAAATTAGTCAGGAAAACAAATTTGTATAGCAGAAATATGTCGTCTTTCTTCTTTTCTATCATGCGACAACTCATATTTATCTCGTGACCCCAAGATTGAGAATGATGCATTAAAGCATCTCAGAGAGCAACTACAGGTTTAGTCTGGCCTTTGTGGACAATGTCCTTCAGATGATCCAGCCTTTGAATCGGGATGCAGTGAAAGTTTGCAATAAAATAGAACATCTCATTTCCATATGTGCAGTGCCTTACCCTGGCCAGCAGAGGGAGCAACCATATAAACAGTACATAACCTACATCTGACCTCTCCAGTGCTGGACTAGTCAGGACTACACACATAAGGAGGGTTAATGTGTCAGTCAAAACAGCCAAATTCAAACGCTGAAACCACAGCAGGGTGTGTCAGCAGCACCCAGTTTAAAGCCTGACCTCCCCCTCCCCACCCTGCCATGTTAGGAGATTCCTTATGAGCAGATGCTGGACCTTCAGTGCACAGCACTGCTGCCTGACCACAGGATGTGCTCTGGGTCAGGTGTCATGAGAACTGGTCTGCTGGTCCAGACCAGACAGGGCTGAGCCCTTGGTGGCCCCCAGCCACTGACCCCTCATGGGAAATGCAAGTATGTGTCTCAATAGACCACAGACTGGATATGGCTATTTTCAGACACAATGGCCACCATTCAAAACACATATTCATGTCTGTACATATGTATACATGTGCACTTACACACACACACACTATAGGGGGGCACAGGGTCAACTTAATGGGAAGATAAAAATATACCACTAACTCCAAGGGCAACAGGAACCAAAAGATCAACTTTCTTCCATGTGTCCTATATAAAACTGTAGTTGTGCTACGGAAACCCTTCTGTTAACAGACATCCAACATCTACGGAAGCCAAGAACGGCCGTGCTTGCAACTATTTTTTTCTTGAGAAATAATAGCTTTGTTATCTTGAGATAAAAGGATAATCAGCCTGTTATCATGAGAAAGCAAAAGGTTGTTTTCTGTTATTACCTATAATGGTTATCAGAGATCAGGGGTGCCATGACAGTAATGCATGGATGAAGCACTGTTTTTTATTTATTTATAGTTTTACCGGATACATTTCTTTCTTTCTTGAGATATAAAATAATAATAATAATAAATATTCATAAATGAACTAGTGATCTTAAGATAATGATGATAGAAAACATAAGTGCAAGAACGGATGTACTTGGCCTCCGTAAACTTCCTCAAAGCTGCAGCCATGAATATTTCTATATTACACGATGGATGAAATGATAGTGTATAATGTGACAGGGCTCACTTATAGTGACATACCGTTTTAGTTTATCATCAGCTCTACAAAGAGTGAAGGACAAGTTCCTTGAAAGACGCTGCAGCACACAGGTGTTTTCATTGAAAAAGCTCAGATGAAGCCACTGTACACAACCTGCTCAGCAAACAGCTGACACATCGTGGAGCATTTAGCAGCTAAACATCCAGATGTTTTTCTCTGGAGTTGGTAGAGACCAAAACCAGTACAACTGGATTAGGTGATAATATGTCAGTGCTGTGTGTACAACTTGTTCTGCTGCTCACAAGAGAATAAAAAAAGAAAAACCAAATCAATTTATGCAACTTTAAAAAGCATCTTAATGACTTATTTAAGCACAAATGCTGAACCTTCACTATCTTCAGCTTCTCAAATGTTTTATGAAGTGTGAACCTAGTGGGAAGTCACCCGTTGGTTTGTGGAGTACTGTTTTTAAGCCTCAAATTTGGTGTTATGGCCTCATCGATGGCAAGAAACAAGGTGGCTTGCCTGGATGGTCTCACTGAGAATGACCTGTCAATCACAAGGTAGCCACGCCCTAAAGCATACCCTGCTTTGTGGTCTATTTTACTTTAAATGGGACCATCATTTACTAAATGAACATCATGCTGTATGAGAGAAATCTGAAACTAGAGATTGAGACCATAAACTCATTGAGAAAGTCAGAAGTCGGCTCATTTCTCCATTAGACTGCATGGTATCGTTTTTTATTGCAGCCAATGGAGCTCACCCTGCTGGCCATTAGAAAGAGTGCAGGTTTAAGGCACTTCTGCGTTGGCTTCACTTCACAGACCCATAAGAGATCTTTTTCGGTCAAAACAAGCAATTTGAAGACATCACCTTGGGATCTGTGAAGTTGACATTTTTCCCTACATTTTACAGCCTAAACAATACAGTACTTTCGTATAAATATATTAGGACGAAATGACAACATGTAAAATATGGCTCACTTGACCCTTTCATGTCCTATGCCTAGACTCTGGAAAGGATATAGCCATAAAAACAAGCAATCATGTACAACTATACATGTCGGCAAACATAAAACTTCCAGCACAGACAAAGGAGCAGAGCACCACTGCAGGTCAGTGCTGCTTGCCAATCAACACGGAGGATATAACAGTCGTGTCAAGAGCCGGCAGAGTGACCTCAAGGCCAAAACGGATGAGTCTTTTTATAGCCTCCTTTATCAGACCTCAAGCCATGTCTGTTACATCATGTCAGACAAGGTTTTATAGCCAACTTGTAGATTTCTCTGGTGCGATAAACTCTGTTGACCCTCAGAGGCCTGGGCTCGCAGGTCCCAAGGGACTTTGGAGGAAGCCAACAAACGTGGGCCGGAGGAACGTCAAGCCTAGCCCGGTGGACATTAAAGGCAGCGGTGGGCTTCTCCAAAAGAATCATTGCGTGTGAGTCGACTTCCTGTAACACAGGGGTTGACTAGATGTTCTGGCTGTTTGGGGGGCCTTTGGGGATCCCTTGGGAAATGATGACACACTAGTTCATCGGCCCCGGGATCAAGAAACACCTGCTTCTTTTTAGATATTAGTCCCATAAACTAGCCTCTGGGTGTTCATTTTACCTATAGCGGAAGAAAAATTCACCTATAAAAGAGAGATTTGGAACTCGGGACCAATCTATGACAGTAATGTCATTCCGTATGAAAACAGAACTTGGCATCTTCAAACGAGGGATTATTTTAAGATGAGGCCTCAAAACGAGAAGTGAGGCAAGCGGCGGATGTGGTTGGGGCCATTTGCTGAACTTTTACTGACACCGCCCCACCTGTCTCGGTTGCTCAGACTGTCAGGAGCTGTGAAAGACGATCAGCGTCTTCGGGTGGGAAAAGAGGGGGAAAAGCAGAGGAGAAGGTGGAGGAGGGTGGTGGGATGGGAGGATAGATAGATGAGGCCTGAGTCTTATCTTGAGGTCACATTAGGGGTCAAATGAAAGATAATACTGCTGCTACCTTACTGGGGTTACAGTAGCTATGTTCTGCCTGACTAATTTACAACAGGAGATGTCTGGACTGATGAATATGTCATTTAGTCATCTTCTGGGTTAACTGAGGGTCTACGTGATCACATAAACCGGAACTGATGATGAAGAAGAAAGTAAAATACACAATTCTATGAAATCATAAGTTATCTTGCTTCCCAAAAGGTATAGGTTCAACATTTTGGGAAATGTTTTGCTTTCTTTTAATTTAGTTAGTTAGAGTTAGATGAGAAGGTCGATAGGCCAAGCAGGTGATTAGCTTGATGTTAGCTTAGCACAAAGAATGGAAGCAATAGGAAATCACTAGATTGGCTCTGTCCAAAATGTAAAGGTCCAGTGTGTAACATTTAGGAGGTATTATTGTCCGAAATGGAATATAATATGCATAGGTACATTTTCATTAGTGTATAATCACCTGAATATAGGAATTGTTGTGTTTTTGTTACCTTAAAATTAGCTGTTTTTATCTACAGAGAGAGCGGGTCCTCCACCATGTTTGTACAGTAATTTAAATAATTTGAGAGGTTTTAAGAGCTTAAAGGACCAGTATTTCGGATTTTGTGGCATCTAGTGAAGTTGCAGATAGCAACCAACTGAATACTCTTGGCCACCCAAGTGT